TTACACAACACTTACTTATGTCATACTAAGGTAGAATATCTCTTCTAAGGAAATGATATTTTAAGTCTAAAATGCTAAGCCATTCCATTTGTATTCTTTCTTTCTTTCTTTTTTCTTTCTTTCTTTCTTTCTGCATTATGCATTACATATGGGCATTATGCATTGCATATGGACAATCACTTATTAAAGGATACACTAGCTGGACTTTGCAAAGTAGTGATTGAATACCTACTTTCAACATTAATTCTGCAGAAAAAACAGCACTTGTTCCTGGAGTAAATCACATTTTTTAAAGTTCAGCATGCAAACAGGGACCAAAGATTTGAAGCTATTAAGGTATTCAAAGTTGGCAAGCCAGTCTTTTGTAAATATGCCTACATAGCATTTCTGGAAAATGAGTCCCTCTACTAAATTTCTGATCTTTCACAATCAATATCGAAGCTTGTCTAATAAATAAAAATATTAACACCTGTAATTATGTCATTGACTTTTAGATGCCATGCGGTAATGAAATGCATATGGAACCCCCCCTTTTTTTTTAAGTATCTGAGCCAATTAATAATATAAACAGTAAGGGAACAGTCTGCATTCTAAGTTTGTTTATAAGCATTTCAGCTCTGGAAATTTTAAAATTAAATTTTGGCTCCCAGTTTCAATTTTGGCTCTCAGCTACAGGTCTTGAATCATTCTTAGCTTACTAAGCATTGCTGGACTGAGGAATTTATTTTCAACATGGCTAAAGTAACTAAGTGCATAAGAAGGGACCTGCTGGATCAGACCAAAGACCCATCTCCCCCAGCATCCCTTTCTCACAGTGGCCAATCAGATGCCAGATGGGAAGCCCACAAGCAAAGGGTTGCAACAGTGCTCTCTTTCCAGCAACTGGTCATCAGAGGCATACTGGCACTGACAGTGGAGATAGAAGACAGCTGTCCAGGCTAGTACCCACTGATAACTTTACCCTCCATGGATTTATCTAATCTTCTTTTAAAGTGATGCGAGTTGGGGACCATCACTACATTCCATAATGCTGTAGGAAGAAGCACTTTCTTGTGTCTTGTCCTGGATCTTCTGATACTCAACTTCATTGGACAGCCCCAAGTTCTATTATTGTTTTTTCCCAAAAAAAAAATATTCATTTTATAACACAAATAAACAACACAAACAGAAAAACAAACAATACAAACAAATTCTTGTCTTATCCTTATTTTTTCTAAACATTGTTAGGTGGGCTTCCCCAAGTCCCCCCTATCTGATTTTCATTTTACCTCATCTTTAGCAGTTTACATATATCATAATTTCTAACCATTTTTTATCACACTTTAACCATAAAAATCTTCACATTTTATCACTTACAAATAATACTATTTTAAAATACACTATCATCTGCTTCTAACCCTACAGCCTATATCCACTTCCAAAGCTATTCTAAGATTTAAACATTAACATATTTTTTCAAATATTCCTTAAACCTCTTCCAATCTTCTTCTCAAATTCTATTATTATTGTTGCTGCTGTTGCCTTCAAGCAAATGTATAGACCCCTTCATGGCATGAAAACATCGAAGCAGTGTGCAGGGTAATAACAGAATAAAACATCTTCAGAGTCAGGGTTTTCAAATAGTAGGATCTGTGCGATGTATATTAACACCTTCACTGCCATCCAACTACAGTATAGGGCTTAAGGCTGAATTCAGTGGGGCTTACATCTGAGTAAACATATATTGTTGCAATCCTTATAACAATCCTGTAGACTAGGTTAGTATAATTACACCTGTATTCAGCTGATGGGATAGAGACTGAAAGAGACAGCAGCATGCCTAAAGTCACATAGGTAATTTGAAGTGGGGGCAACCTTATTCATAGCTTGGGGGATAAACTATACTATAACAAATAAGTTTGCTGAAACCAACCTTGGATAAATAATAAATAATAATGAAATGGTTCAGGGAATGCCTTTCTATTTTGTACGAAACACACCATCTTGCTCCCTTTTGAGTATTGCCCATTCTTTCTGCTTTGAAAAATTCAAAAGTCTGTGCTCAGACAAAACACCAACCATTTTTATTCCGCTCAACCCTTTTAAAATATGCCTGCATCCTAAAGCTGTGTGGTGAATTAGCATGTATGTTTTAGATTCCAATAATTCAATTAAGTGTTTAATGGAAATAAAGGGGGGGAAAGATTCCAGTGCGCTGTAGGTTATTAAAAGGATCAGACATTAACTCGTACTCAAATTCTCTTGAAATGAATCATAATCTTACTGTTAAATATATACAGGGCTACATTCTACTGTTTTGAAATGGAAACTTAATCTGAAACCCTCTCTGCATGATTCTCAATGTGGGAATGATTCCCAGATCCAAGCTATTTAAGTACATCAAGGGGAAAGGGCAAAATGATGCTCTCACTATCAATTGTCATGGATTAGAGCTCCCAGCCAACCATCCCCAGAAAGCCTGGTGCAGCTAAGGAAAGGAAATGGTGTTCTAAGATCCTTTCTATTCTTCTAGCCCTGTCTCTGCTGGGAGCCAAGTTTCCTCATGTCAGTGACATGGCTCTACCAGGCAAGATGTGCTTTGGTCATGCTTCTGATATTCATTGGCATAACTATGGGGAGGAACAGCTGGCAATATAAAGGTAAAGGGACCCCTGACCATTAGGACCAGTCGTGACTGACTCTGAGGTTGCAGCGCTCATCTCGCTTTATTGGCCGAGGGAGCCAGCGTACAGCTTCCGGGTCATGTGGCCAGCATGACTAAGCCACTTTTGGCGAACCAGAGCAGCACACGGAAATGCCATTTACCTGTGGTTTTATATGTGGTTTAACCCACAGCGCCACCCGCGTCCCTAGCTGGCAATATAGGTAGCTCTTTAATAGGTTCGTATCTTACCATCCTTCAGTGTCTTTGAGAAATGTTTACAGCCACTTCACAAGCTGGGCACAACCCATGTTAGTCACAGCAGTGGAACTGGACTTAATTGCAACTAACAAACTGCACTGCTGTCGTGCAATAGGGGGCCTGTCTATTCTCACTTTTTGGCACATATAGGCTGGAATGGATCTAGATACAGAAGGTGAGAATGGGTGCAACACACATACAACTTAAAGCAAGTGGAGTCTTCTGCCTAACATGCTGAGGGAAGAGGTGGGGCCAGCAGATATGTGACAATAAAAGGCAAGATCAGGAGTTGTGACCTCACCTACTGCTTCACAGAGTCACTATATGCATAATGCAGGTACCAAAGATGAGAACTGGGCTAAAGCAACATCACAGGGGGTTTCCAGCTTCCCCACCCGCTGCCTTTGGAAACCTCATAAGAAACTGCTGCAGCAACAGGACTGAGTAACTCCATAGGAGGAGTTGTTGCCTGAATGGTGATGCCAATGGGGCAGTAAGTCTTTGGGGAACCTGAGGCTGAGACAGTAGATCAGACTGACTAATTCTTGGCTAACTTGTAGCAGACATGGCTGCAGTGGCTAGTACATCTAGGACCAAGGTGCTCAACCACACCCCCTTTTTTTTGTTATTGCCAGGAGGCGACATTTATAACACAGCAATGTTTTTTGTATGCTATTACATTACTACATGGGACGCGGGTGGTGCTGTGGGTAAAAGCCTCAGTGCGTAGGGCTTGTCGATCGAAAGGTCGGCGGTTCGAATCCCCGCGGCGGGGTGCGCTCCCGTCGTTCGGTCCCAGCACCTGCCAACCTAGCAGTTTGAAAGCACCTTCGGGTGCAAGTAGATAAATAGGGACCGCTTACTAGCGGGAAGGTAAATGGCGTTCCGTGTGCTGCGCTGGCTCGCCAGATGCAGCTTGTCACGCTGGCCACGTGACCCGGAAGTGTCTGCGGACAGCGCTGGCTCCCGGCCTCTTGAGTGAGATGGGCGCACAACCCCAGAGTCTGTCAAGACTGGCCCGTACGGGCAGGGGTACCTTTACCTTTACCTTACATTACTACATGTTGCTGTTTCATTGTTGCTATTATGATGAAATGATTACTGCCATTGTTGGTTTTTTAATGCATTGTTTACATTGTTGTAAGCTATTTGGAGTATTGTTTTGTGTGTGGAAAGGCAGCATACAAATGGTGATGATGATGATGATGATGATGATGATGATGATGCAGTCACAACTAACTTTTACTGGATTGTGTGCCCACTGAGTACAACTAAATATCCTGGCCTTGACATTCATTGTTATTGGAAAATTGAACTGCAAGCATATTTCAGTCTATATTCTTCACCCTGTAAGGTGGTGAGCAGAGACTCATCTTTCTTCACAATGGAACCTGCTGTGGTCTATAAAACCTCAGCTTATGGCATAAATCACAGAGACAGTTGCAGCTTTGTGAAATTTTATTTGTGACCCTTTGAATCTTATGCCACAGGTCAAATTGGCTTGGGTAAACGGATAACAAAAATGGCAAATGTAAATGTTTCTCCCATTGCAATTTAGCCAGGCCTCCAAGGGCTGGAGTCCCATTCTAAACTGTCTTGCTGTTCGTGACAAAGTGTAAATCAGATACAGTACTGGTAGGAAGTTTTAAAGCCTATATGGTGAATTCTGTGTTGGGAAACAGCTGGCAAGGTTTCCCTCCAGCACACATTTTATATTGTTTTGCATAACCATCTTGCTATGTTTTTAAAAAACACTACTCTTGGCCAATGCATTAGTTTATAGAAATATATCCTGTCATCTTGGAAACCAGTTGGCAGATATCTCTGTGCTGAGACAGAGATGTTTTGGAGGCATTTTGGCTTAGTCTATTACTAATACACATCAAGTGGTATGATGGTGCTTTAAAGAAATGAAAATCCATCCTGCAACATGGAATGCTCTGTTCTATCAAGCTCAGATTTAAACCTCAGTAGACATTACAGAACCTGAGCTGCTTGATCAAAACAAGGCCTGCAACCAAGCCAAAGGCAGCCCACTAGCCATTGTGGCCTGCCAGGTTCTTAACAACTTTCCCCTTTTTGCAATCCCAGGCAGAGAGCAAAAACATATGGCTTCCGAGTCTCTGATGGACCATAATATATGACCGGTAGGTCACAAGGGTGTGTGGAACAGATGAAGTTTATAAGACCTCAGCTACTTCACAGGTACTTCAGATAAACTCTGGTAAATCTGAGCTTCTAGATAGCTCAGAATATAGGTCTTGCAAGTATAGTGATTTACAGATAACTTAGAACTCTGAACTGTATCCCTGATTTCAAGATGTAGATTAGATTTGTTTTTCTAGGGTGCCATCTTCCAAAAGGACTCTATCATTGTGCCTTGGAACATTACAAAGTCATAAAAGCAGCATCATGATCTTGATACCATAAAATCTAATAAATTTGTCCCAGCCAATAAATATTTCTCTCTCTGTCTCACCTGGGGCCTTGCCCAACAGTCTGCTAGGTGTGAATGTCTGAATTTAATGCTGGATTCTCAAGATAGTGCAGGTATTCTGCTAGTGTACCCCCACTCACAGCCTCCCTTCCTGAACCAACAGAGGTGGTCTCAAAGGTAGTGTTGAAGAGCCCATGATTTATAGTCTTGGAAGATTTGAGGTCCCCATATGGGAAGCAGTTCTAAGTCTTCATGGCCTCCATAGCAACCATAGGCCTAACTCAAACTGTAACAGGCCCGACAAACTTAGCTAGCTAGGAATGCACTTGATGTGTTCTGCTCAGATCCAAATGATAACCTATGAATCTTTCTGTTATCATGGGCAGATCATTTCCTGATCAGTTCGGGCTGTTGGTGACAACAGCTGGTAATACTTGCTGAAGGGGTGGGGAACCCATTAAGTTGAACTGCCCCTCCCCCCAAAAAAAATTATGAATCTGAATTGTTCCTGGTGGGTATTTTTCTACTCACATGTGGCTCTCACAGTTTTGGAGGAGGCTGTGGTGCCACACTTTTAACATTGGGGGAAAAGGGTCTGGTACTGCATTCCCTTGAGTACGCTAGAGTACCCCCAGGGAGGAAAGCACTGGCTCTCATTCCCATCATCCTTTCTCTGGCAGGCAATGGTACATCTGGAGTCAGAAGTGGACAGAGATTAACAAAACGAAACTTAATCCAGTCAAGACAGAGGTACTATTAATTTAATTTATTTTTTAAAAACTCACTAGCAACCTGGATGTGTCGCTTTAACCTGTTCTCTGGATTGTGTTGCAGTCTCCTTGAAAGAACAGGTACATAATTTGAAGGTACTCTTTGAGCTACTAATTTCCCTGGATGCTCAGGGGATGGCAGTTGCTTGAAGTGCTTTTTGTAAACTTCAGCTTATATGCCAGCTATGGTCTGTCCAGGAGAAGGCAGACTTGGCTTCAATCATCCATGCTTCAGTTGCCTTCAGACAGGATTATTGTAATGTACTCTACATGGGGCTGCCTTTGAAGACAGTCTGGAAGCTTCAGTTGGTCCAAACTGCAGCTGCCAGACTTTCCTCTGGTACTCGCAGGTCAGGACATATTTGCAGGTCTAAGCATATAACTCCAGTATTATGTCAGCTTGATTGGCTTCTCATGGTGGTGGCATGGCTACTAGAAGAACGGGATAGAAATATGTTATTTATTTATTTATTGTTCTAGCCTTTAACACCTGAAACAGGATCATGTGACCTAAGGGTCCACCTGCCTGTAGGCTTGCCTGGGACCTAGCAACAACGTTAGATGTTTTGCTCTCAGTGCCATCATCTGGGGAGAGTGTGGGAGACAGGTCCTTTTCAGTGGTGGAGCTATTACTCTAGAAAGCTCTCCCAAGTGACTTTCATCAGACTCCACATACATAAATAAATAAATAAATAAATAAATAATAATAAATAAATAAATAATGATAATGATGATATACAGAATTCTCCCTGCATGTTGTGAGCCTTAGAAATGTAGAATTTTAGATTACACAAAGAGGACACCACACATATACACCTGTATCCATGTAGCCTACCTGCAGACTTGAAAATCAATATGTGGATGTCCCCTCGCCTATTCAGTGTTCGAACATCATCTTATCTGCATCATTCTCCTTCAATCAACCAACTATATGTTGCATCAAAGGTTGCTATCTATCTTTTGATAGACCACAAGGATACATCAGAGGCTGTCATCCACAGAAAAATTTACAACTGCAAAAACAAGTTCAATGGTATTCAGCTATAGAGGTCTCCTTCAAATTCTGCACTAACAACTTGCATATGAATCAAAAGATTGACCCACCCAGCTGATTTAAAATGTGCTTTGGGGGATCATCCAGCTCACCAAGGAGGAGATTTTATTAAATAACTGTTTAGCTTTCTGATGCCGTAGTCATTCCTGAATGGCACTAATGACTATGTTCCGCTGAAATATTGTGAGGGAATTCATTCATCCCTCTGGTGAGTGCTTATATGAGTGGGTCCAATGGCTTCCCTGGGAATATTCAAATGAGGAATGGCTCCCAAATGAACAAAAATTTCCAAATTATCCAGAACTGCATTTGTTATATTTATTTCATGAACTGGACTGTCATGTTACTTTTTTAATAAAAAAAGAAAGAATCTGCATAAACCTAACCCTAATTTTATATAGAATTTGTGTCTGCAATATGTCATGTCTATATTCTAAAAGGGGTAAGATAAAACTGATTTTCTATTCTGGACTGCAAAACATCCATTGTTTTTCTTATTCTGGCTGGTTCTATTGCTATTCCTGCTAAAGCTGAAACACTACATTTCCTTATTAAGTACTTAGAAGAGATTGCTAAGGACACTTAGGGACTGTGGCTCAGTCCTAAGAACATTTACTAGCGAGTAAATCTCAGTGAGACTAAATTCTGAGTAAACACAATGAGGGACCAGGGCATTAGTGATTTGAAAGAGCTGCTGGTACCCGACTTTTCCTTTTTCTCCTGCCCAGTTACCACCATCAATTTACAGACCTATTGCAAGTATTTACTATGCAGAAAATGTGGCCAAGCTGGTGTTTGACCTTTGGCAGAAGGCTGCCCTCTCTCCGGCTATTCCTAACAAACTAGGCCCAAGACAATAAGCTGCTTTATAGCTATTAGCTAGGTCAGTGTGTTTCTGCAGGAAGACCTCAAGCTGAAAAGCCAACATGCCTGACAACCACAGCCAAGATACCAAAGGTCCGAGCACTAGACGTTGGAAAACAAATGGGAAAGTACACACTGCCACATCTGGAATCCTAATGGGCCACCAATGGTTCTCAGCTTAAGGAAGAATTACCACTGTTATTTTATCATCCCTAGTGCTAACTTAGCTGTTTATGTACAGCAATAAATGATTTTTTAAAAACATATTTGGGTCATTATGTCATATACCACCAGCAAGTAGGATTGTTTTATTGTGCTTGGAGTAAAAATACGCGGCTATACCCAGATGTTAGGGGGGAGTTTTAAAAAAATAAAAAAACCTTTGGCTCCTCTGCACTCCTTTCTGCTGGCCAAATGGTACATTTGAAAAAGAAAAACTGAGAATTTTATGGCTTATACTCCCGTCTCCCCAGTAAAACTTGCACCAGTATTGTTCCCAGGTATGTTTGTTCTGCCAGTGAGAACATTAGCATGTTAAGCAAAGTAGAGAAGGAACAGACAGAATAATAATAATAAATAATAATAATAATAATAATTATACCCCACCCATCTAGCTGGATTTCCCCAGCCACCCTGGGCAGCTTCCAACACAAGATTAAAAATACATTAAAACACCAGTCATTAAAAACTTCCCTAAACAGGACTGCCTTCAGATGTCTTCTAAACGTCAAATAGTTGTTAAATTCTTTGACATCTGATGGGAGGGCGTTCCACAGGGCAGGTGCCACTACCGAGAAGGCCCTCTGCCTGGTTCCCTATAACCTCACTTCTTGCAGTGAGGGAACTGGCAGAAGGCCCTTGCCGCTGGATCTCAGTGTCCGGGCAGAATGACGGAGGTGGAGATGCTCCTTCAGGTATACTGGGCCTGAAAGCATTGTTTAACTAATTTGAGCTTCCAGGCTTACACTTTACATTAAAATATGACTGGGGAGCAAAGCCCCCCACCTTCAGATCACACACTCCCTGTACACCTACAAAAACCTGATCCAGAGCTTGTGTGGGAGTAATGGCACGTTGGGACAGCCCCATGGTGTCATCCTTCCAATATCTCCCTCTTATATCTGTGTGGTGCAATTTTGGCTATTTAAGGGCAGGCCTTAGAGAACTGAGATCATTATTACTATATTTGAATGAATGACTACCACTCCTGTGTGTTATTCCCATGACAGTGGCAGTATCAGTGGAACTCATATTAGCAGGATCTGTCATTGGGTCAGTCCTACAAAGGAGATACTGTGGTCAAGTAACAAACATTGTACAGTGGTACCTCAGGTTAAGTACTTAATTCGTTCCAGAGGTCCGTTCTTAACCTGAAACTGTTCTTAACCTGAAGCACCACTTTAGCTAATGGGGCCTCCTGCTGCCGCCGCGCCGCCAGAGCCCAATTTCTGTTCTTATCCTGAAGAAAAGTTCTTAACCTGAAGCACTATTTCTGGGTTAGTGGAGTGTGTAACCTGAAGCGTATGTAACCTGAAGCGTATGTAACCCGAGGTACCACTGTACATGAATTGGCAAAGTCTACATAGTAAATTATATGCAACACACACTGGTCACTAGACTTCATCAGTGGTGCCCAGACTGAAGGAGTGTAGAAAGCCTTCAGAACATCCTATTTTCACATCATTAGCAAAGCGTTTATGAGCACAAATAGCATTTGTCATATTCCTGTCTTGGAAAATAATTATACTACGGTTAATGTAGTGAATTGGAGGGCTGTTGAAAAGGGCTGTAGAGTTGGTCAATAAACTACAGTAAAGTTAAATTAGATTAACTTTGGCTGTGGACTTTGAAGTATTACAGGAAGACTTTACTAAGTCTGCATTCCCGCAACCCACATCAGCAAGAAGGCGTGTTTTAAAAAATGTTCACAGCAGCTTTGGTACTAAGGAACTGCTTTTCAAAACAATCTTCTCCTTGCTTGTTTTTCTTTTTGTAATATTCTCTGGGTAACCCTGATGTGCCCTGGAAAAACAGACATATGAATTTGATACCTCATACTTGTTGATGAGTTGTTTTGTTTTAAAAAAAGTGAGCAAGCCGAATGTAGAATGTGAAATTTCCTTGTCTGTCCTGACACATGGCAGGTTAAAAACACAACTTAAATAACTAGCTAGATGCCTCTCTTGATTTCCAAGAACAGCTTAGATGTTGTTTTTAAAAGCTTTGTTTCAAAAACTTTCCCATTTCCCCCTTGTGCATGGAAAACAAGAAATAGGACAAGAATAAGCTATTAATTCAAATATGACTCTGTAAAGCTGTAGCAATTCTTAAATGCATATAAAAGCAAAAAATGAGGTAGGTGGAACTTGACTCTTGCTCCTTCTGCATTCCGGATGTCTTCTTGCTTTACTAAATCAACACAGCTAAGGGAGGACATAAGCAAATATTAAAAATAGTTTTCTGGTTGTTCACTTATTATTGCACAAAACAACATGGACATCTTTTTTAATTTTGATGCCTTCCAAATTATATGGACCCAACCTCAAAACACTGTCCAGCCAAAGACTTTCTGGGCAACTTTGATCAAATGGCTCTCTCTTAGCCTTGAGTCTATATCTGTAAAATGAAACTAAGAAGGACCAGCCTCACATTATTTATTACTTATTAATCTTATATCCCACCTTTTGTCCAAGGAGCTAAATTCTGCATGGAGTCCTGCTTTTATCCTAACAACTACTCTAAGCAACAGTGAGTCAGTTCCAACAGGCAACAGGGCTTCTCCATCTTCTTCTCCCCACTGCTGCATCCAACAGCCCTCCCCTATTCTGCTGCAGAAGGTTGGGGATCAACTATTAGCCACAGTACCTACTATAAAGATCTGCTTGATAGCACATGAATCCCCAAAAAGTATGGCAGTGGTTCAAGCAAATGGCCAGACATATATCAATATAATCTCTGGTAAGCAAACCAGTGAGAATGTTCTTCATCAGAGAATAAATATTGTGGACGAGATGGTTGAACAGTGTTCTCGAAGCTACGAGCTTGAGTTTGACCAAACTGTGGGAGGCGGTGGAAGACAGGAGTGCCTGGCGTGCTCTGGTCCATGGGGTCACGAAGAGTCAGACACGACTAAACGACTAAACAACAACAACACATCATTTAAGCAGGGGTATGAAAATGGTGGCCCCCTAGATGTTGCTAAATGTCAGTTTCAATCATTCCTGACCATTGGCCATGCTGGCTGGGGCTGATGGGACTTGGAATCCAACAATATATGGAGGCCCATCAGTTCACCCTGATTTAAGCAAAGAACCCCTGAGTACATTAATTCTCACATTATTATTATTATCTTGTAAAATTTATACAGCTTGATTATATAAAAAAAAATCAAAATGGTTTACCAAAATATCAAACCATAATAAGTTTTTATCAATAACAGCAATAATTCAAAACATTAAAATCAACAATAAACTAAAAACACATTAAAACACATATCAACGTTCTAAATAGCTGGATAGGTTTGTCTAAACAAGTATGTTTTTAGCAGGTGCTGAAAAGAGTAGAGTGAAGGTGCAGGGAGTTCCAGTGAGTAGGTGCTGCTGCACTAAAACAACAACAACAACAACCACTGAATGATGCATTTACTCTACCCCTGCAACTATGTTCATGTGAAGAAAGGAATATAGAGTTGAGCCCTCCACAGTGAAAGCCAGTGCTTCTAAGCAAATGCAGCCATATGTTCTTGCAGCTAGATTGAATTATAGAATCTTACGAGTTGGTAGGGACCAAGGGTCATCTAGTCCAACCCCCTGCAAAGCAGGAATCTCAGCTAAAGTATGCATGACTTATGGCCATCCAACATCTGCTTAAAAACCTCCAAAGAAGAAGAATCCACAACCTCCCGATGGAGTCTGTTCTGTGGTGGAACATCTCTTACTGTCAGAAAGTTCTTCCTGATTTTTAGCGATCTCTTCTGGATATATACTACCATGCCCAATACTACTGGAATCAAAATAAACTAAAATATAATTGAAGACATTTTAAACTATAATCCCGCTGGAACAAAAGTCCTCCTTTGGTTCAAAATTTAGATTTATGCCACTAAAAAGCAGTTTTGCTCTATTGTAGGATTTACGAACTACACAATTAGCACAGTACTACTAGCATCAGGCATCCAAATCATGAGTTAGACTCCCCAAACCCACAAGGGACTGGCTATTAGAGATCATATTCTCAAATTCTTTACAAGTAGATATACACACAGAAGTAAATGAAGCTTGGATTCTGCAAACATAACTGCATCCTTCTAGCGGCCACTGGAAGTCCGCCAATCCTCCAATCCAAGACAGAGGCAACAGTATGAAGAGGCAACAGAAGTCTCACAGTCCATCATTCAGTCCCACATATGACTTGGCTTGAAATATGCTTGAATGCTGGTATCTAATATGAGCCAACTAAGTCCTGTTAGATAGGAAACATCCCATTTTCAGAACTGCCTACTAATCAATATGTCAAGGTTAGGGATGTAAAAAGGAATTGATTTCCATTACATCCTGCATTTGTTGCACGCAGCGCTGTTTGCATTCTGCTGCATTTCGGCTTCTGTCAAAACCCAAGTTATTTGTCTCACTGGTGAAATTCATCATCATCATCAACCTTTTATTCGACCGTCAGTCAGAAAAAAGTACATTTGTCAATACACAGTTAAAACAACTGGTGAAATTAATTGTCACCAATGTGTTCTTCCACAGCGTTGCACATGGGGTAGGTGGGCGGGAAGATTCCTGCCATCCAATTGTTTAATGACAGCAAAAACATTTTCCTGAAAAAAAGAAATCCTGGGGAGAAAGCAGGAACTGATTTTTGTGTGAAAAGACTGAGCTTTCAATCCTGGACTGAAATGCACTCCGAGATGCCCTCTTCTTATATTCAAAGTAGATGTCTGCCCTTCTCTCTAAGCCACTGGCAAAAGTTAGATCAGCATCTACCGACAGAGCTCTGGCTAAGTTATTGACTACTAGGCATGATGGCTGTTGTACCTCCACTGTTGGTGGCTGTATGTTGGGGGTCCTAGTTGCAGCTCCCATAGGCATCTGGTTGGCCACCGTGAGAACAGAATACTGGACTAGGTGGCCTTTTGACCTTTTTATGTTCTGATGAGTTTTATTCCCCAGAGAGAGTCACCCAC